TATTATTGGTTAAGTCTGTGTAGTGTCTGAATAACAGCGCAAATAATTTTTTTTTCGTAAAAAATTTCGTTTTTTTGAAAATCTTGGCTCATTTGACCTTGAAATAAAGGTCAAAGGTCAAATCCAAGGGCATATTTGAAATCTACACATATGACTTTTGGAAAGCTGTCTGTAGAAATTTTTCCCATAATTCCTTCCATAGGGTAGATAATTAGCATTTAATTTTGCCATTTTTGGACAAGGGTGCATTGCAATGAGTGCCACACCTAGACCCTTATACCGACAAAGCCCAAATTTTACGTGGAACGAGTTGAGATTATAGGTGACCTAAATCCAAAAGATGGGTACGCAGGCCCTTGTAGTCTAGGAGGAGAAGCGGTTACGATGACATGGCGGCGGAGCCGGCGGAACAGGCGGGTCGGGACTAAAAACCATGTGTACCGCCAGCGCCTACCCCGGTGGTACAATAACATGTTTCATGTGAAATATGACCCATTATTCAGTAACACAAGGTGAAATAAAGGTCAGAAAAGATCATTAATATGTAAGGTCATGTGATCAAATCTCTTTGGTTCCACCCAGCCTCCCCAGGGCCCGCAGTCGCTCTTCCAGTGTCAGACGTGGCATCACTGAACTTTTTGGTCATGTGTCATACTGGATTTGGTGACTACCTTAAAAAGGCTTAATAAATCACCATATATTGAACCTCATTAATTCACAACAATCATGAGAAAAACACACGATTTTGTAACAGCTGATCACAAAATCAATGAGGGAAAAATTTTAAACATCCGAGTGGTCAGCCCACTCCTTTATGACCAAACAAGTGCATTTGTACTTTTTTATATGGTTTGAATCGATTCTTGGTAAACTACTACAAGAAAGTTTTCTGATGCATTTTCATAGACTGTCAGTATAATTATTATTACAGTAACTTTAATATAGGATAGATAATAAATATTTTGGGTCCTAGGTAAAACATATCCAGTACTTTACCCACAAAAGGGCACCGAAATTTGGGGGAGGGGGTGGCAGTGTTAATGGTATGAACTCTTCTTTTCCAACAATTTCTACATTCATTTGCCCACGTTAAAAACTTAAATGAGATTTTGTTTTGAACACAAGCTTTTATGGCAATGACTACATGTAGATCTTTACAATAGGAAAAAGTCGTAATTTCTTAAATTAAGAATATTCTTATGGAGTGGTGGCACAAAATTGAAAGCAGGGTACCCTACAGTTGTATTCTGTACAGTCAAAACACCATAAATGCTGTACAGAAATTTAATTGATATGAATGATTCCAAAATCATATGTAACTAGAAGACTGATATGTTCATTGAAAAGATTGAGTTAATACCATATATACATGTACCTCTAGTTAAATGATGTGACATAAAAATTTCCATGGCAAATACTCTTAGGGCGCATTCCCATAGATTTTAGATCGATCTATCCCCATGGGGAGTCTCACTAGATTACTGTCAGATAATCCGGTTTAATTGTCCGTCCCGCCATCTTCAAGCTGTAAGGGGGCAATTAACTTTCGTGCCCGCTCGCCTGACAGCTATTTAGCATTAACCCCCAGGGAGTTTAGTCAATCTAGTTGGATCGATCTAATTTCTGGGAATGGGGTCTTACAGCACAGTGTACCTTCTGGAATGATACTCCAGATTTTCTCCCAATTTTCTTCATCTTCCCAATCTTCTTTTTTTCTGAACTGTATGGATCTGTGGGCACCAAGGGAAATTTCCTTCTTACGTGTTTGAAGGTAAATAGGCACTACTATAATGTCATCAGTGTTAGCAGAAATTTTGTAGTCTATTATGTTATAATGGATATACTGCAACAGCAAATCTGGATCATTTTGGCTATCTGACAGTTTTTTAGTACGCATTTTTTCTAAATAACCCTCAGTCATAACAAGTATGACGTGCTCAGATTTTTCCATGGCATAATAAAGTTCTCTCAATTCAATATGTCCCCCCTTTGTCGTCAAGTGTGGAAGAAAGCATAGAATGCCTCGTTTTTCAGCTTTTTCTTGAAGTTTTTCCACAAAATCATAGGATAATTTGATGGAGTCAGTCTTGTCGTCCCCAGGTAAACATCCATCATATACCACTGTAAAGTGATAGCTGTCTGGTTGAGATCTAGACCTACTGGCAGCCATGGCTTACCTAAAGAAAAAAAGTTTGTAAAATATATGTAAAGAATAATAAAGAAGTAGACATTCATTCCAAATGATCAACTTAAATGTTTTTAACAAGTATGATCGACATGCTCCCCTCAATTCCATTTTCCAGCTTTTATCATCAAGTGTGGAAGAAAGCAATGAATGCCACATCTTTCTGCTTTTTCTCGAAGAAGTTCCACAAACTCATAAGATCATTTGACAGAGTTGGTGTCTTCATATACCACAGTAAAATACCACACTAAAATACCAGTCTTTTAAGGGGCCCGCACACAGTGAGCATTTGGCTCGCGCCACTTGCGCTGCGCCGTTTTCTCATCGTTTGCGGGGATATTTTGGTGAGATTTTTGTCTCTCGCGCGGCTGAGCAAAATATCTCACATGTTTGATATTTTTGGTCTCTTGAGGCAAATGTCTCAGCGTGTGCAGGGTGCAAGCGCCGATTGCTCACGCCATGCTAACAATGCGCATGTGCCAGTAGCCAGAAACAAACAAAAATGGCAGCCCCCAGCATAGTCATCAAAAATGTACACAGTTATAGTTTGTCTGATTGATTAACGTGGTCAACATTATCCATTACTATCAGAAAAAACAACAATATGTAATGTTTCCTTAAACACATGATCCCACAGTTCACAGTGCGTCCGCTAGGGGCAGGCCAAGAGGCACCTCTGCTGAGCAAAGAGCGCAGCGTTTGCGGGGAGCTGAGGACACGAGCATCTTGCTCAGCGCAAGTGGCGCGCGCCAATTGCTTACCGTGTGCGAGGTGCTTTACAGGCCAATTAACTGGTAGTGGTAGGCATATGACTCAATACAGTACCTGCAAGTGAAAAAAAATATAATAATAAAATAACAAAGCAATTCTTAAATTAAGTACGTATGATTTAAAACAGTCAGGAGCTCAGTGATTTGTTAAGTACTGGACAGTAGTTATGCAAACAGAATCAGAATCAGAATCAGAAGTTTATTGACAATCGCCCTACATCCGGGCATGATCAAATACAAATACAAGAAGTAATCCGCAGAGTGATTACCATATACAGTTTGATATACATTATATAATGTCTAGACTAAAGCAGGGAAAGTACATGTACTACTCAATAAAGATCAATATAGGGATAATTAAAAAAAAGAAAAAAAAAAAAAAAACTAATTCAACTAGAATAGGCTACACTAAACCTTATATTAAACTAACTATTATTTAGGGGGATATGAAAACTGCATCGTCAGTTAATCTAGGTTTTATTCAGCATGGATGCAATTTTCATATCCCTAGCTTTAAAACAATCATAAAGAAAATTAGTTGTGCATTTTGCAATATCAAAATCATTACATTGCAGTACGGTAATAAAAAGGTCACTGATGGACTCAGGGGCTGCACTGCCCAGTATATCTTTAACCTGGTTAAGGAATATGGCTCTTAGTGGAGCATAAGAGGGGCATATCATCATAAAATGGAACTCATCTTCAACTGACCCCATGTTGCACACCGTGCATAGCCTTTTCTCTATGGGTATTTTAGGATTCATGTGTCTCCCCTTTTCAATTGCCAAATTGTGGGCACTTATCCTGAATTTGCAAAGGAATGTAGATTTGGGTTTGTGGATTAACTGTGTGTATATTTCTCTTTTAAAATCTTTTTTGAAGGTACTGTAGGTACGTAATTTTTTACCCTCCGTGTTCAGGGATGCTAGGTGAGATTTAAAGGCCGAACTATAAGAGATTTGGATAAGCGGTTTTATTATGGAAGAGAGTGCGGTCATGGATATTTTAAAAGGGTCCTCCCAAATGTCAGGGCGTCCAATGAGCGCCAGTGTATTTTTAATGCCGGTTGACCAGGTTGAGGTGTTAAGTCTGTTTAAATTTTCATTTTCGTGAAGTGCATGAGTAACTAAGGAGGTGGTGTCATGGTGCTTTTTATATTGGAGGCTGTGCCAGTATTTGAGGGCCAGTGTGTAGGCAGTGGTCAGTATTGGGAAGCTGCCCAGTTCTCCGCGGACAGCATGTGAGGGAGATTTTCGGTTAACACCTAGGATAGTTTTGCAGGCCTTGAGATGTAAGGTTTCAATGGAAAGTTTGTCACAAATTAGGAAGTAGCTGTCTTTACTTGAGTTTTTGACAAAGTATGGTGCCCAAACTTCAGAGCCATAGGTAAGAATGGGAGCTATGAGTGAGTCAAAAAGTTTCATGGAAATGGGCACTGGGCTGGTGAATAATTTATTGCGGATTTTGAAAAATGCTTTCCCCCCTTTTGATTTGAGTATTTCAAGGGATTTGGTGAAACTTCCGGATGGAGTAAAGACAAGTCCTAAATAGCAGTATTCACTACAGATTTCTAGAGGTATATCGCCAAACTTGAAAATTTGTTTCTGGATTTTGTGGCCAGATTTATTGAATATCATGACTTTTGTTTTAGTGATGTTCACTAGTAGCTTCCATTTTTTGCAGTAGGCCTGAAGTTGATTTATTGCGGTTTGTAAACCTGCACTGCTTTCCGACATAATTACTAGATCGTCTGCATATAATAGGCAATTTAATTTTTGATTATTCAGAGACACTGGGTCACATCTGTCGTTAAAAATTGAGGGCAGGTCACTTATGAAGAGATTAAAGAGGAGTGGACTGAGATTACAGCCTTGCTTAACACCAACAGAGGACGAGAGACTATTTGTTATGCTATTTCTGCATTTGACGGCAAAACGCACAGATGAGTACATATTACGAAGGGTTCTTAGAAAGTTCCCATTGATGCCTGCCCTTGTCAGTTTGTAGAACAGGGCGTTTCGCCACACGGTATCGAAAGCAGAGGAAAAGTCAACAAAGCAAACAAAGAGGTTGGATTTAGAGGCCCTTTTAACATATTTATCTATGAGGGTTTTTAATACTAAAATATGGTCACTGGTGCGGCTTCCTTTTTTAAAACCAATTTGATTTGGGGGTATGATATTGTGTTTTTCTACATATGTTGTGAGTCTGTTGTTCAGGATTAGACAGAATAGTTTACAGATATTGCTAGTGACAGCAATTCCTCTATAGTTATTTGGATCTGTTTTGTCACCCTTTTTGTGTATAACTGTTAGAAAGCTTGTTCTCCAAAGTGTAGGGAATGTTCCATTTGTGAGAATGTGGTTGAAGAGAATACACAGGGGGGCTGCCAGTCTGTGAATACCCTCTTTGATCATTTCATTAGGTATGCCATCTGGGCCAGAGGATTTATTATTCTTAAGTTTTGTAGAAGCCTTTTTTATTTCATTTACAGTAAGTCGGTAGTCAAGTTCATTGAAAGTACCGTTTTTAATACCATTAAAGAATTCATTAATTAGGGATTCAAATTTGGGGTCCTCATGTTGTAGACTTCTATTCATGAGATTATTAAAATGTTCCCACCATAAGTGGGGTGGTATAGGGTTACAGTTACAGGGGCGGATTTAAGGCGTCTTCTGGGTCTTCCAGAAGACGGTCAGATTTTCAAGTTTACATTGGCGAGTATCTAATTTTTTCTGTCGGAAGACGGTCAAAAATGAAGATCGGATCAACAAAGATAATTTGGAAGACTGTCAGGAAATAACTCTGAATCCGCCCCTGAGTTACTTTTTTTTTCATTCTCACATAGCTGGTCATAGAGGTTCCAAAATGTTTTGGGGTCAGAATTCTCGAGGGTTTCAATTTTGTGGAAAATGTGGTTACGAAAGTCGTTTCTTTTTTTATTTAGTAGTTTTGAGTATTGTTTTTTTTGCCTATTGTATTCTTGTATGAGGTGTTGATTTTGGGGATTTTTTCGAATTTGTCTACTGAGAGATTTGAGAGATTTGGATACTTCCTTGCAGTTGGTGTCAAACCATTTTTTATTCATTTTACGTTTTTTAGCTTTCTTATTATTGTTCTTTTTAGTGATACCTGCTTTAGAGGCCAGATTAGTAAGGAGTGTATAGAAGTTGTTGGTGAGTTGGTCAATGTCCATGTCCTTATTAAGTGAACATGAAGATATGAATTTATTTATTTCTGTCTGGCTATCTGGAGTTTCTAGTGAGGCTGAACAAATTTGTTTTATGATATTTGACCATTGATAGTTGCTGGGGAGGTCATGTGTTTGGTCTTGTGGCAGACTGTGGTCGGGGTAGTGGCACATACCAGTTTTTAGTGAGCAGGAAATCATGCAGTGGATGGACAGTGGAGTTAGAGAGTGTACCCTGAAATATTCCAGGTTACACAATATAGAACTATTACACAGTAGATAATCAATCACACTTGGGCTTCCCCTATGGCTGAAACAGGTAAAATTACCTTGAGAGTCACCTAGGACTCTTCCATTTGCAGTTCTAAGACCACTGCATAATTCTAATAGACTCTTACCATGAGCATCAATTTTGTGCTGATCGAGATTTTTTCTAGTTAAAGCTGAGTCTGAGATATAATCTGAGCCCACATTAATTCAAGTAATTCAAAAGGTAAAGTGTGTAGTTATTGCTGGCTCTAATCTACTTTCACTTTGCAAACAATTACCAGCCATGTAATTATCCTTGAGATTTCAGCACAGGGTCGCAGTAGATTGATTAGACATATAATTAGTGAAAAATCGGGAGTGTCTCGATAGTCCGAAGGTTCATTGGTCCGAAAAATGGTAATATTGTCTTAGTTTTTTTTTTTTTCTTTTTAATCAAGGGGTTCATTAGTCCAAAGGTTGTATAGTGAACATTCGGACCAATGAACTGTCGGACTATTGAACCTTCGGACCATGGCGTGGCCCTGGTAGAGGGTAAATTAAAGCTAGCATACACGCACCTATCATGCAGCGGACATCAAAAATCGTCAGTAGGAACTAGCACGGTTGAATCTGCCACTCTGCTTAAAGAATGGGGCCCTAGATTAAAATTGTCGAATTTTAATTGTCGTTTGCATAGTAAAAAAGCACACTGTGTGCACGCGTCCTTGTGTGAGTGCCAAAAAAATTAGTCCGCAAAGTGAAAGTAGATTAGAGCCAGCAATAACTACACACTTTACCTTTTGAATTACTTGAAGTTCCCCAAAGTTCACCACTTAACCTCTCTTTACGATCGTAACATGAAAATAAAATATTCTCTCAGCAAGGAGTCCCTTAGTGTAGTAAAATTCCAAAATTCCTCCCCACGAGCCCTATTATGATTTAATAAAAACCAATATAGGTGCTGGTTCCAGCACAGAAACATGTCACCTTCAGGCCACGTGTTACATTTCATCTCAGGCTACGTAGTTTATGTATAATAAAACACCAGCTCCAAGTACTTCTCTTGATATAGACACCTTTGCTAGTATTTCTGAGACTTGTCACATTCCTTGTAGATTGTGAAATTTTTACCAGTCGACCCCTGCTTAGGAATCGCACATTTTTCATGCAGTTTGAAAAATTGGATTTTGCTATGAGAATTTGATGAAATATTGATGCATGAATGTACAGGATACAGATATATTTACAAACAAGGATTACTAAAACCTACTAATACTAATTTCATACTGTGCCTGTCAGCATTAACGGAAATCTAATTTAAATTGCCAAAGAGGAAACCCAACACACACACACACACACACACACGCATGCACACGTGCGCGCACGCACACATACCAGCACACACACACACACACACACACACACACACACACACACACACACACACCGGCACACACACACAGAAAAGCTGTCCCATCTTTAAAACTGTTTTTGATGCTTTGACAGGTAACGCCTCGAGATTTTTTCTATAAAATGTGTTAGCCCGACGGGGTCTAACTTAATTAGACCCAATCGTACTAACTGTAGATCAATCTATCTCAAAGCAGGGATATAATTCTCTGCTCAGAGGGGATTCTAGCTAAATGCTTTCAAGTTAAACGTCATGCCCATGATTCAACTAACTAGAAAGTGAAATGAAAAATGCACTGGTGAAAGTTCTTCTTCAAAGTAGACAGTTACGACTATTTAGACTCAAAACTTTCTGACCTGAGATGACATCTACATGTAGCCCCTGAGGGGACGCGTGGGTGTCGCCATGTTGCCTGTCGTAACATGTCTCCGTCCGGCAGCCATTTATATCAATCTAAGGGGATTTTTTATTGCAGTCGCAGTTAAACTGAGCAGAGGGAATGTTTGTAAGTGATTCCAGGTGTTGGTGATCGAAACAGTAGTTAAACTGTGAACAGTAAGTTAACTATGTTATCCAAGGAGGCCCACTATATAGTACTGGTACTTGAATTGAATGCTACATTTACTTTCATTTTGTAGCGCGTTTTTGGGAGAGTGTAAAAGTCACCTGCCAGACCAGCGTTTGAGCCCAGGACCTCTCGCTTACAGGGCGAGTGCTCTACGGCCGTTCTACCCTACGTCTGACACTACAATTATTTAATAATCCACACTTGCTATCTGCTGACCTATCGGTAAACCTACATTTTGGGCGCATTCCCATAGATTTTGATCGATCTATCCCCGTGGGGAGTCTCACTAGATTACTGTCAGGCGTAAATGCCCGTCCCGCCTACTACAACTTTCTTGCCCGCTCGGCTAACAGCTATTTAGCGTGAACCCCCAGGGAATTTCTGTAGATCGATCTAGTTGGATAAATCTAATCTCTGGGATTGGGGTCTTAGAGAGCTCATTTAGGTCCACACATGTCTATTTCATAAAGACTTGAATTTTAACACACAGGTTATAAAATATCTGAGTTTTAATAGACCTTGAAAATTTATCTATCTCATTCAAATTAAAAGTTATTCAAATCTTAAGACTTGGTTCCCATCAATCCCTTGATCGATCAAGATCTGGATCTGTCTAACTCGCTAGGGAGTCTCACTAAATTGCTATCAACTCATCCAACTTAAATGTCTGTCATGCCCACTGAATCAGCTAGGGCACCTTTACTAGGTGTGAGAGACATTTACAGTAAGGCTGTATTCCCAGAGCTTTTAGATCGATCTATCCCCGCGGGGAGTCTCACTAGATTACTGTCAGATAATCTGGCTTAAATGTCCGTCCCGCCTACTACAAGCTGCAAGGGGGTAATTAATTTTCGTGTCCGCCCGGCTGACAGCTGTTTGGTGTGAACCTCCAGGGAGCTAGGTCGAACTAAAGTAGATCGATCTAATCTCTGGAAATGGGGTCAAAGTTTTTTTCAAAAATGTGTCAGAAGCTGCCCCACTTGATTTTCACTCCTAAGAATTCCGTGGGAATGCCCATGTAAATAACAGAAAGAAAGATTCTAGGGACACGGGGGGGGGGGGGGGGGGGGTCCGGAAAGTCAAGGGTTCTTGGGCCGG